TTCCAACCATTGTAAGAAAGTAAAGAGTTCTCAGGTACCAATCGTAGTTTGAAAGGATATGTACTGATACCATAACGCAGACATTTAAACAATCAAGTTCAATACAATGAAAGTACTTGGATGAGTTTGAGAAAAATTATATTTTTATTGCTGAGCAAAAGTAATAGATCTTTGACGAATAATTCGGTCATGCGAAAGACAACGAATTATTTGTCATCGATAGGGCAACACGCTGGCGAAAACAGTTGGTGTCCATATTTATCTATTTTCTATAAATTGTGTTAGAGAAAGAATCATAGTATGAATCACAACCCTAAGTCCTGTTTGCTTTATTATAATCTAAGTGATTTTATTTAAGTTGTTTTTCTAATAAGTGCTTTTAAAAAAATATGTTTTACAATATCTCAATATTTGATCTCTAGATATACATCGATAGAATGAAATTCAGTATTCAATCCATTGGTCATTGTGGTTTGATAATCTTTTACTACTTCAAACAACTGTGCACTTGCGGCGTGTCAAGTTTTTGACGCCGTCGTTGGGGACCAATTGCGTTTGATGTTGAATTATTATTTAATCACCGTATAGACTAGAACTTTATTTTTCTATTTATTTTGCTACAGTTCTTGCTGCTCTTGTATGCGAAGAACTCGTTCAGTTGGGAATTTAGTCGCACTTGTGAACAAAATCAAGTGTTTCTTACGTGATAGACTCCAAAATCTTAAACAGAAAGAGAGGACTGATCCAGTAGTTGACATTGAGCCTCTTAAGAATCATGTCATTCCTATTGAAGAGGAACCATATTATAGTCTTCTGCACCCACCGATTATGGAAAAAAAACTTTGAACTAAAACCATCTTTGATTGGTATGGTGCAATAAAATCAAATTTCCGGGTTACCATTTGAAAACCAAAACCTTCATCTTTCTATATTTGTTGATAATTGTGATACTATTAAAGCTAATGGTGTTGACCAAAACACCATCTGTCTCTGATTATTCCCTTTCTCTTTGAGAGATCGTACGCGGGCTTGACTTTAATCCTTGATCGCCAATTCAATTACTTCTTAGATACAGTTGAAAGCGACCTTTCTTGCGCGGTATTTTTTGCCAAGCAAAACATCCCAAGTTAGGAATGATATTAACAATTTTAGGCAACAAGAGAGGGAATATTTGTTTGACGCGTGAGAACGTTATAAGGATTTTCTAAGATTGCACCCATTCCACGGGTTTGAAAAGTGGATGATTATTCACACTTTTTATAACAGTCTCCTTTACTCCACAAGGATGACCTTAGATGCAGCTTCTGAAAGAGTGCTCATGAATAATCCTTTAGATGTAGCCTATAACTTGATAGAAGAGATGACCAAAAACCCCCCACTTATGGGGAACGTGCGACAAGTCGCCGCTAAATTTTCCCTAAAGACCGACGATCTTTATGGAGTTAGTGTGTTTGACCATATAAACGCAAAGGTGGATGCCTTTTACCAGAAGATTAATAGTTTGAACATCACACTTTTCATACCTGTTATACCTACCTCTATTGCTTTTGTTTCCCTATCATTCTCAACTTTGAGATATGCATAATTAATAGGCATACTGATAAAGATTGTCAAATAATTCTCGCTGGAGAATCCATCCTAAAAAATTTCAATTTTGTAAACAACAACCAACAAAATAATTTGTAGTCCAAATTTGAATTATGAATAATTTAAATATTTTAATTCACGAATATATATCATTTTGACTATTTTGATTTATGAATTTATACTATATATATTATTTTTTTATTTAAAATTTAATAAACTTTAATCTCTATATTTAGGAACATACTATTTTGACCATTTTGATTTTTGAATATATTCAAATTTTAATTATTTATTTAATAAATTTTAAATAGTCAAATTATATAAATTTAAATTTTACTAATTTATTTAATAATTCCTTTTAAATTTAAATTTAATTTATAAATCAAGTTCAACTAATTAATCATTATATGAGATTGAATTTCAAATTATTTTTAAATTGGTCTAATTTATTATATGTTAATTACGTTCCACTTTTATAAGATTGTATATTGTTTAAAATTATACATTTTAAATCAATTGATAATGACATTATAAAGAAAAAAGCAATTTTTCCACCCCAATATAACCCTTTAAAAATTATTTATTTTCAAATAAATAATTTTTTTAATTTTCAATCCAATTTTAATTTTCTTAATTATATTTTCATGGTTAATATTATCTATAACAATATATAAAGGCAAACTATTTTTTTGGTATAACCTATTTTTTTCCCTCTTTTACCCTTTAAAATTACTTAGAAGTTACACAAATAAAAGAAGTTACACAAATAAAAGTTAACTACTTCCTCTATTTTATATTTGAATATTATACAAAGTAATTAGTTATTTGAAAAGAAAACTCACTTTAACTTCTAACTATAACAATATATAAAGGCAAAATATTTTTTTGGTGTAGTCTATTTTCTTTTCTCTTTTATCCTTTAAAACTACTTAGAAGTTACACAAATAAAAGTTAAATACTCCCTCCATTTTATATTTGAATATGGTAGAAAGTAATGAGTTATTTGAAAAGAAATCTCACCTTAACTTTTAATTAAAAACTATATTTAAATAGCTTCTCCTTATAATTTATGTCTTTCATTTCTAACTCATTAGACCCATAGAAGTCAAAAATGGAGAAGAAGGGAGACTGCATGAGAAAAATTAGAATCCAAATAATGTTTATGATGATGGTAGAAAAGAGAAATCTATAATTTGCAGATGACATAATATGGACTGCGAATCACACCATGATTTATGTTACAGTTGATTATTTGGGTATTTAGATTCTTCAATCTAATTTTTTGATTTGGTTTTTGATTTATTTTCATTTACTATTTTATAACTCATTAGACCCATAGAAGTCAAAAATGGAGAAGAAGGGAGACTGCATGAGAAAAATTAGAATCCAAATAATGTTTATGATGATGGTAGAAAAGAGAAATCTATAATTTGCAGATGACATAATATGGACTGCGAATCACACCATGATTTATGTTACAGTTGATTATTTGGGTATTTAGATTCTTCAATCTAATTTTTTGATTTGGTTTTTGATTTATTTTCATTTACTATTTTATTCTTTTTACATAAACAAATTCATATGTGAAATTGGGATATATATATATATATATATATATATATATATATATATATATATATATATATATATATATATATATATATATATATATATATATATATATATATATATATATATATATATATATATATATATATATATATATATATATATATATATATATATATATATATATATATATATATATAAACAAACATGTATTATTTTTATTATTAACTTATTACAACTATTTAATTTTCTATCATTTTAAGCACATTCATCTCTTCTATTTTCTACTTCTGAAGATATGACAACCTGCATTTTGTTTGTAATCTTGATAGACATCCATGACTGCATTAATTTTATGTCTCACACACCATTCTTATCAGTCAAGTCACTTACTATAACACCGTTCAACTCCTCAGGAATACAAACTTGAATTATATATTTTTAATTTTTTTTTCTTTTTATCAATGCATTAGAAAATAATTGATCATTTTTAAAATATCCAAAAAAATATATGATACTTAATTATATTGTGTAGGTTGTTATTGAAAATAATCTCTAATCTTGTCATCTATAAGGCTCACATTCACAAACAAAACTACAGTTAGTATCAGATAATGTTAAATATAGGCTTTAGAGTTTTTTTTTTTATAATGTCAAGTCTAAGGCTATGAATGATATTAATGGTTGAATATCGTTTAAAGATTGAAGATATTTGTGTTTATATTTTCATCATGATTTTCGTTTAATGATAACCAGTTATTAATTACTTAACAAAATAAAGAAAGAGAAACAAATGAATGTCATGTGAAAAAGAGATTGAGATATATAGAGAGGTAGAGAGACCGATGAGTGATATAAAAAATAGTTAGAGAGTTTCAAAGAGAAAGTGAAAAGAAAAAAAAAAGAAAATACATATTAGTGGCAACATCCACAAATAAGTTATAAGAAAAAGGTAAGTTACAAAAACAAATAACAACTACCACATTATTTTCTTTTTTAAATACGTTTTTTTATTGAACACAACATCGAACATGAAAAATAATAGTAACATTATTAATGTCTTTTATTGTAAAATATGTAAATATTAATTTTTTTGTTATTTCATATCCATTTATAATTTGTATGATTTCTACATTATGATATTATTAAAAATTTAAGACATTAAACAACATACATGGATTGTCTTCTTACTTTTATTTTTTCTAATTATGTAAATAATATTATTTTATGTAACATTTAATTTATTGATAAGTTTTAATTTTCACATTCTACTCTTTAGATTATTAAGTTAATTTTAAGTTGACATTTGCATTGTTAAATTGGTCTGAAGATATTTCTTTTAGTGCTAAATTAGTCCGAAGACATTACTAAAACATATTAAAAGTTAATATGTATCATTATATTTTTATTTTTCTTATAATTGTTACGCTAGTTTGTACAATTCTAATTTATTGTTGTTTTATTTTAAATTTATGTTAATTAAAACATAGCAATAATTAATAAAATAAAAATTCTTTTTGCAGAGATACAAATTTCTTTAGTATGAATAATTTTTAAATTAATTTATTTTAAAATGAAATAATATAAGAAAAAATAACTTTACATTAAATGATTGTTTCATTTGATGAAAGTATGGATATCCAATTGATTTCATAAAAGAATATAGTTGTTGTTAAGAATAAAAAAGTGTTAGCATCAACTTCATATTCATTAATTGTGTTAATATTTAACAATTAACACTAATCAAATAAGCAACAATACAGTGGTTGACCTTCTTCGTTCTGCTCTGAAACACAAACATGGAAATGGTTCTTTCCATTTGAATCATAATCACAAAAATTCAGATGGCGTTTGAGGAAGTAGCATATTCAAGGCCTCTTTTCCTCACGATCTACACCGTTGTTATTGTTGGCATCGTTGTTTCCTCCTTATACGTCTTCTCTGCAATTCACTACTCTCCCACAACCTCTTCTTCTGCTTGGTCCTCTATTCCTCCTCTTTCAAGTAACTCCTTTTTTATTCAAATGGGTTTCATCAAAATCATTCCTTTTTTTGTTATCTGTTAGTTTTGTCATAAATGTGAAAATTACCCTCTTTGGAATTTTACGTGTATTGTTTTTTGTTTTAGTAGTGGATGTGAATTCAAACCTTGTCTGAGTATGCTTTTCAGATGACGATTCCCGGCTTAACATTTCTCAATCGGAAGTTGTGCGTGTTGTACCTTCTGCTTTCTCTGAGCCCCAGAATATGTCAAAGAAGGCTGTTTTGAATGTTCCTCCTCGCAATAAAAAAATGCCGCCTTTGAAAGATTTCAGACTCAACAAAGAACTTGTTCAACAAAGGGTGAAAGATAACATTATAATAGTTACCTTTGGTAACTATGCGTTCATGGACTTTATTCTGACATGGGTTAAGCAATTGAATCATCTGGGCCTTTCCAATTATCTTGTTGGTGAGCATTGCTGTTTATACATGCTATCATTGTATTTTGTTTTGTGATGGCCTTTTGGATTGATTTATTTGAGGTTATCTACTGGCGTAAACACTTGTGAGCTTATTTGGGAGAGTTTAGAAAACACCTTACACGTGTGCATAAGTTGTTTTCAGCTTATTTCCTTCAACTCTCTAGGATAGATTGTAAAAATAGTTTATAGCTTATGTGGAAACAGTTTGATATTATTCTACCTTTTAGGTGCAATGGACACCAAATTATTGGAGGCACTTTACTGGGAAGGGATACCGGTTTTTGACATGAACAGTCATATGAGCACCGTAGATGTTGGCTGGGGTTCTCCAACATTTCATAAGATGGGCAGAGAAAAAGTTATTTTGATAAACTCCATACTGCCTTATGGTTTCGAACTATTGATGTGTGATACTGACATGGTTTGGTTGAAGGTGCTTTTCTGATCCATTCCTTAATATATGTTTGATTGTAATGGTGATTCATACGCTTGATTAGTTTTTGATGAACGATCGAAGCCTAAGATATGTTTTATTCCTAAATATTCAACTATGTGATTATGGAGCAGAATCCACTTCCATATTTTGCTCGTTATCCCGGAGCAGATGTTTTAACATCCAGTGATCAAGTTGTACCAACCGTTGTTGATGATAGTCTGGAAGTTTGGCAAGAAGGTCAATATTATATATAAGCAGATTTAACATCAAGTGATCAAATTAATGCTCTTATTCATTTATTGGTTTTCTTAATCCCTCATTTTAACGCGCTTGTTTTAGCTTGAAGAGACTATTTACTATTTTGATGCTTGTGATTGTTTCGTTGAATAGCTGGTGCGGCCTACAATATAGGAATTTTCCATTGGAGACCTACAGAGTCTGCGATAAAATTGGCAAAGGAATGGAAGGAATTGCTTCTGGCTGATGATAAGATATGGGATCAGAACGGGTTTAATGATATTGTCCACAGAGAGTTAGGGCCGTCGGTTGACGAGGACAGTGGACTTGTTTATGCTTATGATGGAAAACTAAAGCTCGGAATTTTGCCTTCAAGTATCTTCTGCAGTGGCCATACATATTTTGTCCAGGTTGGACCTTAGTTGTTTGGTTCTTCCACCTTGATATTTAGCTTTTAAGAGATGGTTCTCCAAGCACTTGAATACGTATTAGAATCTTGATTGGATGTTATGTTGCAGAGAAACAAATTACGAATGTCCTTTCATATTATGATTGTAGGCTATGTATCAGCAACTCAGGTTAGAGCCGTATGCAGTGCACACTACATTTCAATATGCAGGGACTGAAGGAAAGCGCCACCGACTACGAGAAGGCATGCTTTTCCATGACCCGCCTGAATACTATAATCCTCCTGGTAATGTGTGAATACACTAGTTCCATAATTTTCTTTAGTTATTATGGCTTTTTACTTTTATTTTATATCATTCATTCAAAAAATTCTATTGTATACGCCATTCATTTTCGTGTCATTCATCTACACTCTAATGCTGAGAACTAAAAGTTTGTGCATAGTGTCTATACATTTGTTGCAGTATCTGATTGTGTTTGATTTGATCCGTCGACTCCTTTTCATGAAAATACCGCAAACTAACTCTTAGGGGAACTTCTCCAGGGGGTTTCTTGTCATTTAAGCCATCTATTCCGAAAAGCTTGTTACTAACTGGGAACCATACTGTTGGATCACATTTTACCCTCATTAATTACCAAGTATGCAAGTATTGACTTGATCCTTTTCACTTCTGTATTTTGGAATGGAGATTATGACATTACGTTTCATCTCATAATTTATGATGAAAATGAATTTGTCCAGATGAAACAGATTAGGACTGCACTTGCGATTGCCTCCCTTCTTAACAGAACGCTGGTGAGGATTTTTTTTTCTGGAATCATATATTATAATTTTATATATGTTCGGTAGTTAATGGCTCATCATGAACGCTGTTAAGAACCATGACTCATAGTTAGAGTTTTTTATGTATGTATTAGGTCATGCCCCCATTATGGTGCAGGATTGATAGGCTATGGTTCCCCCATCCAGGTGTTTTGGAGGGGTCTATGACTAGACAACCTTTTCTCTGTCCTTTGGATCATGTATTTGAGGTATTTCTCTTCTAGCTTGATTTAGTGGTTATTTATTGTTATTCGATTACGTTTTAGTCATTAGATTGTCTCATAACTGATTTGAGTATAATACTTAGTTCTCTCTCTAATTATTTCAAAATACAAGTTTTATACGTTTAGATGAACCAAGTTATAAAGGTTTATAACTGTTGCAGGTGAATGTCATGTTGAAAGAACTTCCGGAGGAAGAGTTTGGCCCCGGAATAGATATTAGAGAGTACTCCATACTTGATAATCCCTCATTGCCCTTAGAGGTGAATTAATGTCAATCCTGTCAAAATTTAAACCGATGAATTCTTCTTTCTTGTTGTATATTTTTTTGCTGAAGTTATGCTCGGGTTCTTGAGTTCAGGTGAAAAAGTCATGGCTTGATGTTCATCTCTGTAAAGAAGGAACACAAGATTGTAATGCTTCAAATAATGTAACTGTTGGGGGAGTACTTAAATTTCCAAAGCATAGCAATGAAGAAACGGTATTTGAAATTTCGATCCATTTAACGGTTGCTTAAAACTCAAAGGATAGAAAAGTAAATATAAATTGAGTTCTATTTTAAACATTCTAACATTTGGTTGTTTCTACTTACATTTTCAGTTCATGAAAGTATTTTCGTCCTTCAAGGATGTAAAAGTCATCCAGTTCTCGTCAATGCGAGACGCATTTACTGGTTTCGTCAACAAGGCAAGGCCGTTTTCGTTGTTCTGTTTGATGTTTTTCTTTCTGTGCTTGCATCAAAAGTTTGAAGAAATGTGTTCGTTTTTCATGCCCTGATGCGATGCATTTCTTTATTTTAACCAGGAAAGAGAAGATAGATTCAGAACACGGGTTAAACATTACACCGGTATATGGTGCTGTGTGGTGGATCACACGCCGGGTCATATATATTATGATATGTATTGGGACGAGAAACCTGGATGGAAGCCAATCCCTCCACAAACTTCTGCAGATGATCATCCACCTTGGTGAGATCAACTTCAGAATTATATGTTCATCGTCAAAACACTATGATGGAGAGGGATACAGTCATCAACATAAGATATTTAAAGGTGGTTGGTTGGCTCTTTTCCAAGTCATGTTTGGGGAAGTAAACACGGTAGCACTGCCATTGGTGTCTGACTCTGATACATGTCTTTACATTCAATTATTCTGTTTTCTCGAATTATTACTGGTGTCAGTGGTGTCAATATGTCGGAGTCGTTTCCGGTGTCCATATTTGTGTCCGAGCTTCATAGAGTTGCAATCTTTATCCATTTTGAGGATGTTTGTTACTTATGTGAGAGATAAAGACAATGTGATATTAAAGGAATGATTTATATCAAAGCTTTCAACTTTGCAAATTAGAGAAATGGAAGCAAACAATATCTCAGTTGAGGATGCAGTTTTGTGAATGTTGTTGTCTTAGTTGATATTGAACTGCTTGTAAAGAAAATAATATGAGAAATCCAATTGTATCACTCTTCTCTTTTATTTCAAACAGGGAAATGATTTTTATTTTGATCTTTTTTCTCCTTTTTGTTATTTGATTTTTTCTGCTGGAAGTTAAACTCCTAAGTTCCCTAATCCATAAATATTTGACTAAAAAAAAGCTCAATTAGCATATTGTTCCAACAATGGCCTGAGTATTATGCAACACAACAATTTAGATTAGGTTGAAGGCATGTCTGATATGTGCCGATGTTAGACATAGACTCGGCACTTATCCACAAAATCATATTCATTTTTTTTAAAAATTATCGCAAGTGTTAGTAGCGCGTGGTGTATGTGTCTGTCAATTTTGCTTACAAATATGGGTGCTTCAATTTTTTATACACTACTTTACCGTTGTTAATTGAACTATTGTCATAAATGTTAGGACAAGACCTAGAAAACATCCTCACAGCATTCCCATAAGCACGTTCTTGAGTGCAGAAACTTCCATAGCTATAACAAAAAATGAAGTCAAAGTGAGAACTTGGGTAGTTTTTCATTTGCAGCTAAAGCATGTAACAAGCACCTTTCAAAATTTAGTCTTGATTCAATTTCGACTGAGAAAGTCATCTTCATTCCATTCATTTTCTTCACAAAACAACCAAAATAGGATTTTCAGCACTGTTGGGGTTGCTTTTCCTCCATGTGATCCTTCCATGTTGTCACTTTGTTGGCGTCGTTTTTGTATCGCCACTCATCTGTTTGATAAAATGCCACAAAGGGTTTTTCATGTAAGAGAGGTTCATTTTGAGCTTGTTGTTGATCGTATTAAATTGTCCCTCAAAAAACCTGACATAGTGACTGCCACTGTTGTCCACTGTGCTGCCTTGAAGATAGGTGCTCTAGCTTATCTTCCAGCTTCAACATCTTTATTCACTCTTTATTCCAAAGCTGGAGACTTTACCTCTTCTAGGGCTTTATTTGAAGACATTCACAACAGAGATGTTATCTCTTGGAATGCTATTATTTCAGCATCTCTCGAAAACAAATGCTATAAAACAGCAGTGGAGTTCTTTGAGAAAATGATCAAGGACCAAACTAGGTTTGATTCCACCACTCTATTGCTTATGGTATCAACTTTGTTTCACATGAAAAACTTTGATCAAGGAAAGGCGATTCATTGCGTGAGCATAAAATCTGGGATGCTTGTGGATATCAGTTTGTGCAATGCTCTTATTAACATGTATGCTAAGTGTGGTGACCTAAACTCTTCTGATTCTGAGTATCTATTTGAAGAGATGGAATATAAAGATGTTGTTTCATGGAACTCGATAATGAGAGGATGTCTTTACAATGGCGATCCGGAGAAGTCGTTGTGTTATTTCAGAAGGATGATTTTTTCTCAAGAAACGGCAGACCATGTCAGCCTTTCTTGTGCTATTTCGGCATGTTCGAGTTTGGGAGAATTGAATTTTGGAGAATGCATTCATGGTCAAGGAATCAAACTGGGATACAAGGATAGCTCTCATGTTTCGGCCGCAAACTCTCTCATTTCGTTTTATTCACAATGTGAGGTCATCGATGTTGCAGAGAGTGTATTCAGAGAAATAGCTTACAAAGATATTGTTTCTTGGAATGCAATGATAGAAGGATATGCTTCAAATGAAAATATTCATGAAGTATTTGATCTTTTGATTGAAATGCAAACTACAGGATCTTTCGATCCTGATATAGTAACATTAACTACCATACTTCCACTTTGTGCAGAACTAATGCTTTCCAGAGAAGGAAGAACTATACATGGATATGCAATTAGAAGACAAATGTTATCTGATCATCTTCCTTTGCGGAACGGTCTTATAGACATGTATTCGAAGTGCAACCTTGTCGAGAAAGCCGAGCTCTTGTTCAATTCTACAAAAGAGAGAGACTTGGTCTCATGGAATGCAATGATATCTGGCTATTCCTTGAACAAATATTTTGAAAAGGCTCAAAATTTGTTCAAAGAACTGCTATGTTGCAGTCCAAACTGCAGCTCGTCGACTGTTTTCTCCATTCTATCTTCCTGTGACTCACCAAATAGTCTCAACTTTGGAAAATCGGTTCACAGCTGGCAATTAAAATCTGGTTTTCTGAACCACATTCTCTCGGTAAATTTTCTCATGCAAATGTATATCAACTGTGGAGACCTAAGTTCTGGTTTCTCAATTTTGCAAGAGAATTCTTCTATAGCAGATATTGTTTCATGGAACACTACAATTGTAGGCTGTGTAAGAGGTGACCATTTTCAAAAGGCTTTAGAGACTTTCATGTTAATGAGACAAAAACCTCATTTCAACTATGACTCCATAACCCTTGCAAATGTTTTATCAGCCATTGCAAACATGGAATTACTCAACCAAGGAAAGTCTCTCCACAGCCTTGCTGTTAAATCTCCTTTCGGGTTGGATACCCGTGTTCAGAACTCCTTAATTACCATGTATGACAGATGCAGAGACATCAACAGTGCTAGAAAAATGTTTAAATTCCATTCTAGTTCCAATCTATGCACATGGAACTGCATGATCTCAGCTTTATCACATAACAAGAAAAGTAGAGAAGCATTGGAACTATTCCGTTGTCTTCCTTTTAAACCGGATGAGTTCACGATCGTTAGTATTCTCTCCGCGTGCACTCAAATTGGTCTTCTAAGATGCGGAAAACAAGTTCATGCCTACACGTTCAGGTATGGATATCAAAAAAATTCTTTCATATCAGCAGCTCTTGTAGAAATGTACAGCAACTGTGGAAGACTGGACAATGCTATCCAAGTATTCAGACATTCGACGAAGTCAGACTCAGCTTGGAATTCAATGATTGCTGCATATGGTAATCATGGAAATGGAGAAAAAGCTATCAAACTCTTCCATGAGATGTGTGAGTCACGAATTAAAGTGACCAAAAGCACATTTGTTAGTCTTTTATCTGCATGCAGCCATTCCGGATTCGTGAGCCAAGGACTTCGGTACTATGAATCTATGTTGGAGAAATACGGCATAAAACCTGAGGCTGAGCATCAAGTTTATGTGGTTGACATGTTAGGAAGATCTGGTAAAATTGATGAGGCTTATGAGTTTACAAAAGGGTTACAATCCAATGCAAGTTCAGGTGTATGGGGAATGCTTCTGAGTGTATGCAACTATCATGGAGAAATTAAGTTGGGAAAAGAAGTTGCTGAACATCTCTTTAAAATGGAACCTGAAAATGTTGGATATTATATATCATTGTCAAATATGTATGTTGCTACAGGAAGCTGGAAAGATGCTACTGAATTGAGACAATCTATCTATGACCAAGGATTAAGAAAATGTGCAGGCTATAGTCTTATTGATGTTGGTTTGGGATAAGAGGGAACCAAATATTTTGATTTTACTCTATATTATTATAAAGCAAATGTATTAAATTATACATATTATTTATTTATTTATTATTTATTTATTTATTTTATCATCAAGTATGTCTTTATTAGTCATATTATTTTTTAAATATCTTTTTTTTAATCAATTAAGTTTAAAATTACAACAAAAGAGACATTTGAAAAGATTCAAAGACTGCGTTAGAATGCATCACATATTTAAAGATCAAAATAAATACTCTATAATATACTAATGATTGAGGTGTGTACTTTTTTTTGGATAAAAAAGAAAGAAAGACATATACTCTATAAACATTGCATCATCCAATTTTCATTATACCGGATTTAAACAAGTAACCACCATTAGAGTAAAAATATATTAGAATTAAAAAAAAAACTAATTCAACCAATTATAAATTGGCATCTTACAAATAAATATAATGATTATTTATAAAAGTAATCGGCAAAAAAAAAAATTAGTTCAACCAATTATAAATTTGCATCTTACAAATAAATATAATGATTATTTATAAAAGCAATCGGCAACAATGGTTTTAGAGGTCATGATTGTATATACATAGATGGATAGGATTACTCCTCATCCTCTTTCTCTTCCTCTTCCTCACCCTCGTCAAAATTCCTCCCTTTAAATTTCCCACCCGTGCCCCCTTTAAATTTCCCACCCTTCTCGTATTTTCCACGCTTGAATTTTCCTTCGCTCGTCTGACCATATCCTCCACGTCCATAATGCTCATGGGAAACACGATGAGCACCATAAGCAGCGGCAGCACCAGCAATCAATCCGCCCATTCCACCCATTGCACCCATACTTGCACCACTATTCCCGGTCTGTCCAAAACACCCTGTTGTAAGGCAATGAAGTTATATTTATGATTAAAATTATGCATAAATAGCATACAAACGAAGAAAAAAAACTGCAAATGCGAAGCTACCAATTTTTAGATGGTAAAAGCAATATTCTTAAGAAAGAAAGGAATCATACCTGGGGCATGTGGTGGATCATGTGGTGGAGCATGTGAACCAGGATAACTAGTAGGTGGATAACCATAACCGCCGACTGGAGGATAACCACCGGCTATAAGATAACCAGTCGAACCGCCGGCTGGAGGATAACCAGGCCTCAAGTCAATCTTGCTAAACACACAAGTACCCACCAATTGGTCCATCAAATCATCAATCCTCGGAAGTGGATACTTATTCTTAATCGTTACTTTATTCAACTGCCGATAATCCACACACAATCTCATGCTACCGTCTTTCTTCTTCACCAACAACACCGGAGCACCCGACGGAGAAACACTCGGTCGAATAAACTTATTCTCAAGTAGCTCTTCCAACTGTTTCTTCAATTCTCCTAACTCAGATGCAGACATCCGATAAGGAGTCATCGACACAGGACTAGTGCCCGATATCACATCAATAGTAAAATCTACCTCACGCTCAGGAGGTAAGTCACTCATGTCGTCTGGAAACACCTCTGGAAATTCCCGAACAACTGGCAGCTCCACGCTCATTGTCTCATAATCAACTTGAAGTGATGAAAACAATGAAAACATTTGAGCCTCATCTTCTACAAGTTCTTCTACTTGCTTAGCAGATACATACATCAGCTTTCCACCATCACCAAACTCTGGGAACCTCACAGTCTTGTTGTAGCAATCGATATGAACATAGTTGTACTCCAACCAGTTCATTCAAAGAATAACATTGATTTGATACAAAGGTAGACATACCAAGTCCATCACAAAATTCTTATCATAAATGGTCAAAGGGAAGCTCAAACAGACTAACACAGTAGTCACATAACCATTAGCCTGGGTATCAATAACCATACTCCCAATCATAGAAGATACCTTCAAATTCAACCTCTTAGCACATTCAAGCGAAATAAACGAATGAGTAGCATCTGTACCAACTATAGCAATCAATTCAACATCATTAATAAAACAAGTACCTCTGATCAAGTTATCTGACTTGGATTCTTCTACACCGCTTAAAACAAACACTCTGCCATTTGTCTAAGCAGCAGTAACAGTCTTCTTTTACTGCTGACACTGGATACTGATATGACCCTCCTCTCTACAGTTGAAGCAAGTCGGAGCTTCGTCTTTATAGTCAGTAGCTCTATGACCTCTCTTGCCACAACGATGACATCTCAGCACTCTACAATTCTTAGCACGGTGACCTTACTCGTCACACTTATAACACTTACCTGGAGCAGTAGCCGCTCCCCCACTTTACTTTTTCCCATCTGAAGCCTTCTGCTTCCCTTTATCACTAGAAGTGACATAAAATTTCCCTCTATACTGACCTTTCTATTTCTTCTCATTCAGTTGTTTGTAGTGAGTAGATCGAACTCGACTATCTTCATCATAAATTATACTCTTGTCCATCAGTTCTGCAAACCGACGAATATGCTGGTACTCAATTCCTTGCTTAATCTCTGGTCTCAAACCATTCTCAAACTTGAGACACTTTGACATCTCTGCGTCAACACGGTTGTAATGCGGACAAAACTTTACCAAAGACTCAAACTTTGTTGCATACTCAGCCACAGTCATGTTCCCTTGTTTCAGCTCAAGGAATTCCACCTCTTTCTTGCCCCGAACATCTTCAGGAAAATACTTCCTAAAAAATTCTTCCTTAAACACAATCCAAGTTATTGCAATGCCAGCACCTCCCAATCTCTGACTAGTGTTATTCCACCAGTCCTCAGCTTCCTCTGCTAGCATATGCGTACCAAACTGCACCTGTTGAGCATCAATGCACGCCATAACTCGGAAAATAATCTCAATCACTTTCAGCCACTTTTATGCACGATCAGGATCATGAGTGCCCACAAAAGTCGGCAGATTGTTCCTCTGGAACTTTTCCAAAGCACGAAACTCATCTGGAGGTCCACCATTCTGAGCAATCACTTGGGCAAGTGATTCCAGCGCATCAGCAATAACACGGTCGTTTCTTCCAGCCATCTGCAACCACCAACAGGGTTAGAAGAAAACAACTCATCCAATAATGTTCTCACACTATTGACTGATAGGGGACTAACAACATAACAACTTGGCCGGACGGACCGACCTGCTCTGATACCACTAATGTAACACTCTTTTCTACCCTACAATTAAAAGGCACATTTATTCACATATGTCAGAGTAAATTATTAAACTCAATAAAAGCCACCACAAAAGGGCGTACGTTTCACAAATAATCAAAATAGGTCAAAGCTCCGTAAACAACTGGTTTTCTCAAAAACATCAAAAATATTGCACAAGGCAGCGGAACTCAAAAACATAATCCAAAGTTTTCCTCATACGGGAAGATAATCAAAATAACTCAAATAAAACATAGTTTAACTCAAAAGACCCCAACCTGATGTTAGATGTTATATATCAGAGTAAGACCATCTAAGTTAACCAAAAAGGCTAACGACTCAAAGACTTCAAAAATATCCTCGACGGCGTCCACGGTTAAACCTGGTCATCTTCATGTTACCCACGAGGAGGTAACATTCAAACAGGTAGGGTGAGTAAAACGATTCATAATAATCAATGTATGAAAATCAACATATAAAATGGCGTCATAGTCATATTCAACATCATCATATTCATCAATAGGCCTCAAAGGCCACAACATCATAAATTATTCCAAATGACTCATAAATGCAAATGCAACAAGATTCAATGCATGTGGTACCAATTATCACAGTGCAATGGACACTGGGCCATCAACCCTCCATAGATCCCCATCAATAGGATCGATTCTAATTGAGAACCGGAGCACATCAAAATACTTCACATCCACACAATGGGATTGAAGCCAAAGTAATCGAGATCCTGAACCGAAGTCCAGATGCACATGAATGCATGATGCACACGTCACAAATCATCCTCATAATAACATCATAGGTGCACCATTATTCATCATAATCATCATCATCACAATCATCTTCATATCTCATGTCATCATATAATTCATCAAAATCATGGTAATATCATCATAGTTTCCTAATCATTACATCAAAGGAATCATCGTATCATCATGTACACATCACATAAAATTTATAGTCATACTCATGTCAATTCGTCAAAGAAATCACATAATCAAAACATTAAGGCATCGCTGCACAAAATCAACATTCGCGAAACTCTGCTACGTTCACTGGCATGTTCGCTAGGCGAGTCTGAGGCGAGTTTCTTCGTTGTGTGAAGGATTCTTCGCTAGGCAAGTTTGGGAATGAAATTGCTCGTTGTGCGAAGCATTATTCGCTAGGCGAATAATGCGATGACAGCAAACTCTGCATACGCACCAGAACCTAAATCCACCCAAATTCCCACACGATTCACTTCCCCAATGCCCCCAAAATATCCCTAAATCATCCCTAAGGTCTTACGGCGATAAAGGCACAAAACCTACGATTTATTAGGCCAATCCTGTGTCATATTCACGGCCTGCCCAGAAGACCCTGTTGTAAAGCAATGAAGTTATATTTATGATTAAAATTATGCATAAATAGCCTACAAACGAAAAACAAACTGCAAATGCGAAGCTACCAATTTTTAGATGGTAAAAGTAATATTCTTAAGAAAGAAAGGAATCATACCTGGGGCATGTGGTGGAGCATGTGAACCAGGATAACCGCCGGCGGGAGGATAACCAGTCGAAGGATAACCACCGGCTGGAGGATAACCAGTCGAAGGATAACCCCCTTGATATGGAGGGTAGCTGTGTCCAGGTGGAGGATATGTAGAAGCATGCTTCAATCTCAAGTTTTGATGATGTCAACACTACTCAAGTTCATCTCTTGGTTGCAAAAAGTCAAGTCTTTTAAAGGAATCAAGATCAAGTCAAGCTATCTTTCAAGTCTTTCAAAGGAATCAAGATCAAGTCAAGCTATCTTTCAAGTCAAGCTACATATGGAACTATGATTCTTCAAGACTTGGATGCATTGCGGGTATATCAAAATCTATCCTT